TCCATATTGGCCGCGTCGGGGGCATCTGATCCCCCCGAGGCTGCCGAGGGGCACGGGCCGGTGAGCAGTGCGTGTCAGCGGGCACCATACCGTATGCAAACTGACCGCTGGTGACCGAAGATGCCGCTGTGGGTTCGCGGGGAAGGCCCCCAACTCCGTCGTCCACCGTGGGTCCCGCACTGGTGGACATAAAGACTGTAGTCGCCGCGCCTGATCCTCTCGTAGCCCTTGAGGTACTTGTGGGTTCGCGGGGAAAGCCCCCGAACCCGTCAGCTGTGGACTCCGCAGCAGCTGACGCACAGAGAAGTGGTATCGTGCTTGCACCACTCGCCTGAACCGCACTGCTATCCGCGCACGGTCCAACCACGCAGCTCACATCCTCGCCCAGTTTGTTAGAACCTTCGAGCTTCACCTCATCCACTGATGTATTGAACAACGTGCTGACGCGCCTGGTATGACGAGCCCATCGCTCGGCAATCCTCCATGCGTAGCAAGCCTCGTCGCGCGGTACTTCAGGCTTAGGTACCACCTCCTGCGTCACCACTCGTTGTTCCCGTCCACCGTGAGACAGGTATGGCATGAGCTTGTCGCCAACAATGTCGTGACGACCGGCCAGCTCAACCTCCGCCGCGTTGAGAACTGCCAGCCATGCACTAGAGAGCTGCTCGTAACAAGACACTTGCTGCACCTGCTTCAACGCGGGCTTCCAGCTGCAAGGGGAACTCGAACATCCAGGCTTGACCTTCGTCGGAAACACTTTTGGTTCAGTCATCCGTCTTAGCTGAACTGAAGTCCGCCGATCCGGCGTGTGAGTTTCAAGGAGTCTCAGCTACAGCCTCGAGGCTGAGCCTCAGCCTCTGGGGAGGTTGCCGGGGTGGCTCTGCCGGGGAAGGGGGAATGGGGGGGGGGGGGGCGAGTTTCCGGCGGATGCGGGGCGCTGCTTTTACAGAAGGCTCCAATCTCGAGGATGCGCTGGAAGGGTGGCCGCGGCCGCAGAAGTCTCTGAGGACGATCTGCGAAAGTCCCGAGACCCCGAAGGATCGCCCGAACACGCCCAAGATGACCCCAAGACGGCCCAAGAGCCGTCCACGACGTCTGAAGAGGCCTCCAAGAGGCCTCCCACGATGGTCCCCAGAAGCAAAAATCGTTGATTCCCATTGGTTTGTTCAATGTTTTTGGGGTTGTCGCTTTTTTCGGCTTTCCGACGCTCCAAGAAGGCCCAAGAGGCACCCAAGACCGCTCGAAGACGGCCCAGGAGGCCCCCAGACAGTCCCAAGACGGCCCAAGAGGGCCCCAAGGCGGCCCAAGAGCCGCCCAATACGGCCCAACAGGCCCCCAAGACTGCCCCAAGAGGACCCAAAAGATAAACGAAAAGCTGAAAAATCTAGCCTTCCAGCCCACGAGACCCCCAGGAGGCCCCAAGAGCCTCCAAGAGGGCCTCCGCAAGCCCAAGAAGCCCCCACGACGCCCTGACAGGCTCCTAAGATGGCTCAAAAAACGCCCCAAGAGGGCGTCCTTGCGCCGCTAGGCTCGCCTCCACCGCTCGCACCACATCGTCCAGGCCGCATGTTTCGTAACACGACTCCGTGCACAACGTATCGTGAGTTTCCAAAGTGATCGACATCCTGCATGGAATTTCCATGTCATTATTATTTCCCGCCCCCACTGTCACTGCAAGCACCCCGCCGTTGATAGAACCACTGTTGCGAGATGGCTTTATTGACCCAACTGCATTCCTACGCCCTTTCGAAGGTAACCCGAGAAGCTTGTGCGTTTGAGTGTGCGCCCAGAATGTCTGCGTCTGGAGAATAACACCGAGCGACCCGGATCGGCGGCACTGGCAGAAGGCCACTACAATATCCATTACTTCGATGGGTAAATTTACTGGTCAATTGAATCGAGTATCCACGTCCTCATTGACACGCGGCCGAGAGGCACTCGGGGCCAGCTTCGCCGCGATCATGAACCAGTCGATCGTTGTGCCTGGCAAGCTCGGTCGGCAAGTGGTGGCCCGAGGTGCTGCTGCAACCCCATCAATAAAGTAAAAAAAAAAGCCAATCCAAATTACCCATTTCTTCCATGGACATGTTGTAATCGGCGCCCGGGGCCCACAATAATCCTGATCTCCGCATCTCGTTCGCATGCTCCGCAAATCTGCGCAGCATCTCCACGTTGCGAGCAGACATCTGATCACCCACATATAGGCACATAGAGTATATGATAAAACCTTTGCGGATGCCCCAGTGAACTCTGGCAGCCAGCAGCCGATGTGGTACAAGTGCACCTCCGTCAGTACTTGGCGCCGCGGTGATCGCGATCATCTTTCTCGTCAGCACCGCGACCCCCCCCCCCCCCCCCGAAGTGCCCAGGGCTGGTGTAGACTGTGCATGGCCCCATGTACCCTGCCATCCCAACTTGGCTATCTTATGTTGACTCCCCGCTAGCTTCTCATTCGTAATATGATGTTCCTGCACACAAATCACCTGAGCTTGACAGCGCGGAAGATAGCTAGCCAACTGCCCGAGGGACGTGCAATTCAGAGTCTCGATGGATGTAGCATTCGCCATGGTAATGTGAATAACAGCACACATACACTGCAAATGCGAACTACGCCTCAGCGCGGGCCTTCTTCGCCATATTCTGGAACCTGCCGCAGTACGTTTGACCGCTGCCCGCAATTGGTCTTCGCTGTCTGGGACTTCCAATCCCAGAGCTTGAAGGAACTCACGAAGCTTGTCAGGTTCCTCGTCACCAGTAGGGGGTGCATATTGAGGATGAGCACGATCGCCCTGCTGCGCATCGTCCTGAGCACCCCCTGGTTGGTCGGGCCGAGCGGGCTCCTGCGCGGGTGCCGCAGGGGGTGGCGTGCATGCCACCTCTGCCGCCCGAAGCTGGTCCATGGCGATCTTGAGCGATGCCGCGAGGTTGTCCGCTGCCACTGCATCGAGACCACGGGCCTTGAACAAGTCGCCCAGCCCTTGCACCGATATGCCAGCACTTTCGATATGCGATTCGAGCTTGCGCTCAGCTGGCGCCATCGGCAGCGATCCAAAAATACGTTGGACCGCAGCCGCCTTGGCCACTAGCTGCTCAGGCACATCCTGCAGCTCCTCCTCTGCTTGGTCGACGGCTGTCTGCGCCTTGACCACCGCTTCCTTGGCCAGTTCGTCCGCCTTCTCCATTCGCTGCGTCTTCTCGAGCAGCTGCTTCCTCTGGTTGACCGCGTCGTGCGCCCTCCACCCGAAAGGCTGCGTCTCCCGCAGCTTGACCTTGCACGCGCCCCGATGCCTCTCAAGATGTAGGCGCTGCTGTTGTGCAAGCTCAATGTCCGCATCCTTCGGCAGCGCCTTGAGCATGGACTCAGCGACGGCCAACTCGCTCTTGTATCGACTCTGCTCCTTGTCATTGGTTGGAGGAGTGACTACGTCCATGGCTCCGTCCTTCTCTTTCGTGAGCTGCTCACGAAGTTCCGGAACCTGCTTCTCCAGAGCCTTCTCACGCTTTGACTTGTTGTATTCGTCCTGATCACGATCGCTTCCTTTGCCTTTGCCTTTGGCCGCCTTATCCTTCGCTGAGGCCGAAGATGACGGAGCCAGCTGGGGCTTGAGGCCATAGAAAGCGATGTCCTTGCTGCACCCGCATTTTCCACGACAGAACTTCGCAGATGCGTAATTCCACCAGCGTTCACCTTTGCTGTTGACGCACCATCGGCAGAGCCACGGCTTCGCCCAAGCCGTGCGTTCTTGCTGTCCTCTTGATACGCCCATGGCTGCAGGAGAAAACAGAGTGCAAAGAGGAATGCCCTTCCCAGGGCCGTGGTGGGGCGCCGTGCGGTCCTGATGGGGGTCTGCGCGTGAGCTCCTGGGGCGGACCAGGGCTCGAAAAATGATGGAAAGCGAGCTCGGGACACAGAGCTATCCCGTTCAGGCACGAGGGCGCGGAAGCCCTCTCGTGCAAACATCTTGAGCCAAAATGGCTACGGAAGGGCAGGGGGAGGGGGAGGGTGAGGGGGACAAGTTAGGCGCGCTCGCGTCAACATCTGACATCCTACCCCTCCCTCCCATCTCTTACCATGGCGCTGATTTTCTCTATCCGCGGACGCGTGTCGTAGCGGACCTGTGGCTCCGCGCGCGTGTGCGTAGTGGGTGGTGGTACGCGTGCGTGTGTGCGTGTGTGCGTGGTTGTGGTTGTTGTGGTGGTGGTGGTGTGTATGTGTGTGTGTGTGTGTGCGTGTGTGCGCGTGTGTTGTGGTGTGACGTGGTGTGGCGTCTTGGTGGTTTGGTGGTGGGCCAGGTGCGTACGTGCATGATGGCGGTGGTGGTGGTGGTGGTGGCGGTGGTGGTGTGTGTGTGTGTGTGTGCGTGTGTGTGTGTGCGTGTGTGTGTATGTGTGTGTGTGTGCGTGCGTGCGTGCGTGCGTGCGTGCGTGCGTGCGCGTGCGTGCGCGCGTGTGTGTCTGTGTGTGCGCGCGTGTGATGTGGTGTGACGCGGTGTAGCGTGGTGGTGGGTGGGGTATTGCGGTGGTGGTGGCGGTGCGCGGTGGTGGTGCGCGTGCGTGCGTGCGTGCGTTGGTGGGTGGAGGTGGCGGTGGGTGTGCGTGCGACGGGCCGGGGCGTGGTGCGGCGCGGTGGTGGCGGGCGGATGGGCGCGCGAATAAGAGGCCCGCGCTGGGGCGAGAACGCCATCCTGAACGACGGAGGCAAAACACCGATCCGAAAATGAGGCCCACGCTGCACCGGGAGCACGATTCGGAACGATTCGGGAGCAGAAATGAGGCCGGCGCCTCAGCGAGAGCAGCATTTTGAAAAAAACGCAGGCGAAAACACAACTCCGGGGAATCGTGCGTGTAAAAAAATACGC